ACATCAACGGTCACCTGTTAAACATTTTGTAACGTTGAGTTGAGGTTTTAACTTAATAAAAGGTACAGGGAGTACTAGTACCTTGTTTATATATTCAAGTTAGTTCCTCAGTTGATCAGAGGAAAGTCACAGCGAGTACGAGACCTTATTATTGAAAGCACCGCTGATGTCGAAGTTGATACTGTCTGGGACAACTTCACCGTCTGGTCTGACGTAGTAGACGACGATTCTGGCAGAGGGCGCCATGCTGGGTTCAGAGACGATGGAGAAAGAGACGCTCTTCTGATTGTTGCCTTTTATTGTGCCAGATTTTACTATATTTCCTCGAGAGAGAATCTGTGTTTAAAAAATAAATTCCGTATCTTTTTTACTAGAGTACTGTTTGGTTGATTAGTGTATTATGTAAAACAATCTTTATAAAACACTATTATGTTTCTTTACCTGGTACGTAAGGGTTGGCAATTCTTCAGTACCTTGGGCTGAAAATAATACTGTGTCCCCTGGCTAAAATAGTGTTTAAAAAAAGAGGTTAGCATTGCGCGAAATTAGAGTGTAATATTATCAGATGAATATTTATTTTTTTTTGGGGTGGGGGGGGGGTTATCTTTAAAATTATATATTTTTTTGGAAAATACCAAAATCGTTAACAAAATAACGGTTTAACGCATCCTTTATTTCAAGAATTGTAATGTAATTTTATTTTAACTTAATCAATGCGAGCAGTCTGCATTTGGTTAAATCACTATCTATGTTGGATTTAGCTTTTGGTGTGTATTAACATAATACAAATTAAATGTGCTCGTTATTTTCAATCTGTAAATTAATTATTATTAACATGAGAAAAATAGCAGCATATCGAGTACAAACAGATATATTTCATGTGACAATACATAACGTTTTGTTTCTCACCTTTATAGAAGTAGAATGTTGATAGATTTGGAGGTATGAGCTACTAGGAGAATAACTCATTGCTACACACGCTGTTCCGGACATTTCCCGGAAATACGCCTGGAATTGGAATCGACAGACACAATCCATTATTGTCAGATATCTAAAAATAATTCTCACCGTTCCCCGTTTAAATAGTGAAATGATAACAGAAGAATGTTCTTCTTTTCTTCTTCTGCGTTCTTAATTTTCCTATTGGAACGGATAAGCTCCAGAGCAATTAGAATACTGGTCAACTAGTGAGTCCATTCTGATTTCAGCCTGCTTTTCTTTTTGGATTTGTTTTCCATAGCCTTTGTCCAACCAAGAACACACTACAAGGCAGAAGTTGTTTCATTTTGGAGTTGTCTCTCCTAGAAAAGTGGCTGTCCCCAACTAACGAGCCTCATCTGCCCAAAAGTTCGAACTCTAGGCTTTTCGTTTAGCAACCATGAGCTTTACCGACTCGACCAGGCCGACCCCTTAACACAAGAATGAATTACAAAAAACAAACATTGAAAAGATAAAGGAGCAATGGCTAAATGACCTGTATAACACAATAGAGCCTATAACACTTCACTCACTGTTATAAAGATGAACTCGGCGTTTGGTGGTATCTGTGGACGTAGAGTGACCAGACCATTGCTAGGGACGCTCAGGGTCTGTTCAAGTATGTCTATGTATGAAGAAAGGAAACTGTCCCCTTTGCTATCTTGGCCTCTGATTTTAATCTTCACGTTTTCATTGGTGGGGCCGATCGGACGCCCGTCCGGCTGTGAGAGTTTTACCTGTAAAATAAAATATAACAACTATATGAACATTTAGCATATGCTTTTGAATGCATTAAAATAATTTGTTTATTGATTTCTCTAAGAAATCATAAGCCATTAAAACAGATTTCATGAACAATCAATGCTTTTAATTATGATAGCAAATATGTTATTTTTTAAAATCTTCATTGCATTTAAATACTATTTTAAACTTATTTATATATTTATTAGTATCTACGTTCTAAAAATTTGTTTATAATAAAGTTGTCACAACACACGACCAACCATCCGTGAACAACAGTTAAGGTAAGGTGTCGCCTCAGATATTTTAAACTACATTATTGTTTATGATGGCTTTAAAAATTAAAAACTATATTTTTTTACCTTTAAATTGATACCAATTTTTGTTATTAAATTTAATCGGTAGCCATGAAAATGTTTTGTGAAAAAACGAGTTTGTTTTTAAATGGCTACGATTATAAGGTTGATTTTCAGTGATACATTGGGTTAGCTTTTTAGGGCGTGTTTTTGTGATGCGATTGATCGTTCACTTCTGTTCAGCAGAAATGTGACGTCTGCTAGATTTCTCCCCATTCAAATACACGGCTGGCAAAATGGGCGGGCTTAGTTAGCTGTAGTGTGGATCAAGTTATTTTTTAAAGGTTTTATTTTTAAAACATTAATGACATTAGTTTAATATAGAAAGCAAGTTATAGTTTTTCTATAGTTTAGAATATATTTTCAGTATGTTTAGAACATTATTAAATAAAGCAATTCAAGTTTTCCTTACTTTTATTATGTTCTGCTTGATATTCCCAGCGATTAGACAAAACCAAATGTATAAATGGCAAGTTAGCATCAAACGCTAGTCGTCCACTGTTAAAACTAGACCGGTATCGTGAATAATACGCAAAAATAACGATTTTTAATATAAATTTATAAAATGACCATGAAACATTGTTTAAAACGGAATCACGTTATCGTCGTTTTTGGCAGCAATCGTTATCATGACGACGGTAAAAAAAAGTAGGCCAAGCAACAACCTAAGTTGACGGGATATGTTTTGTGTCGATCTACATTTTAAAATGTAAGATCTAAAGTCTTTTGAACATCTTTACCATGTTTTGCACATGAAAGAAACTAATAGACAGCAAAAGTTATGAATTGTTCGTTACTATTAAAAATGCTAAGCTTTTTTATTTATGCATTTATAGCAATCAAACTGAAACAGCTTACATTTCATTATAAATTAAAACTTTTGTCACGACAACTTTTTGAAAGAGCTACTGGTCAGAATTTTACAAGGTCTGAAAAAACAGTACCCTTTTTAGTATTCAAACGTTTCAAAATATGCATATTATTTAGTATAAACTTTTTTCTTATTCAACCGATTATAGTTCTCTCGTGACAAAAGTTTTAGTTTTTAGTGTTAAAAACCTGCGAACTGAGAAAAACAGCCAAAGCTAGCGAAAAGTAGGCCACAAAAATAACATATCTGTGTAAACTGCAAAGTCGATTTTAAGCTTTGGATGTTTTCGAGATGATTGAATATACGATTATTAAATACATAAGAAATTTCCCATGATGCCAAATACAATATGATCAAAGATATAAAACGTTTTGCAGAGAGCATTTAAGACTAAAAAAATGACTATTTTTTAAAATAAATAGTCATAAAATGGTATTATAAACACACATATTTTTTTTCCATTAAGTCTATTATTTTCTTAATACAATAAACCGAAAGTGATCTCCCCTAAACTTTCTCGAATATTCTTATATGAAACAACAGGGGATGGCAACTCGGGATATAGACATGATTTTTTTATTCATTTTAAATACTTAAACTTTTTAGAATAGAATAAAATCTCGTAGAAAAAAGAATCGCACACCAAGTGAACGCAAAATAAAATGTGCATAATAGTGCGGAATATTATTAGTACTTTATAAATTCACATGGGTTTTATGAGAAATCGGAAATAGCGAAAATTACTACTTCCGGTCAACAAAAATTACTCAAAATTTGACAGAAGGCAGAGAATTAGATTTTTACTTATATGTGAAATTTCATTTTTTCTATATGAAATAGTATTCAAGTTATAGGCTTTTGAAAAATTCAAAGTAGAAAAAGTTCCACTTCCGGTTATCGGAAATCGCTCAAAAGCTAATACGTATCTAAGATTGTCATATAATACTTATATATGAAATTTAAACAACTTAGCTGTAACAGTACTCAAAGTATCGTGTTTAAAGACACACAGACACACATCCACACATATACATACACACAGACATACGGACAAGATTGCAAAACTATATTTTTTTCCGACTCAGGGAGCTGTAAAACGTCGAGATTTGTAAGAATCTCGATTTTTTTTGCACGATTACAAGACTTTTTCTATGCTTTCTATATACGAGAAAGTAAAAATGGACAAATTATCTAAAAGAGCAAGAAACCCATCATGATGAAAAATAAGGAATTTGTTGTTTTTGTAACAGTTGTTTTCTTCCCATTTATTGATGCATTTAGTAACTTTTAAATTAATGTTTAATGACTAATTTAATAGTTTATTATATTAAAATTATATATTCTTGAGTTGTTTTCAGGGACGAATGTGCCTGGAAATCACGACATTAGATGTGGGGCAATACTGAGTTACACTATTTGCTTCCATAAATTAGTTTTATTTTCTTATTTTTCAGTGCGTTTAAAAGTTTGTTGCAATAGAGGTTTTTAATGTTTGTTTTATATTTGTTCTTTCTTTATAATTTATTTTGTTGCCTTTATTGCTAAAATATGTAAAGTGTCTCACGAGCGACCAAAAATTTTAATAAAGAAAAGAAATTAGTTTTTCTAATTTTCAGTACATGTAAAGCTTGTTGCTGTAAAGGCTTTTTTACATTTGTTTTATTTTTTACATTTTAGTGATTCCTAATTAATGAAGTCGACACGACTAAAATATTTGCTTTAAAACACCGTCAGTAGGTCGCGATATCTGAAAGATGATTATCTGCACCGTAAAAGTGTTCGCCGTGACTACAATTTAAAGACAACACCAAATGATAAAGCGAAGGATACCTATTAATTCTACTACTTCCCCAAAAATTCAATTGGTTTCAAAAACTTTATTATCTGCCCCTAATAGCCTTCACTAGATCCACCGTCTATACTATACGATTGTAAACGTGTCTCCACTTTGTTTCGTAACCGCTTAATTAATTTTTATGACAAAGAAACAAAGAAACAAAGAAACAAAGAAACAAAGAAACAAAGAAACAAAGAAACAAAGAAACAAAGAAACAAAGAAACAAAGAAACAAAGAAACAAAGAAACAAAGAAACAAAGAAAAAAAAACAAAGAAAAAAAAACAAAGAAACAAAGAAACAAAGAAACAAAGAAACAAAGAAACAAAGAAACAAAGAAACAAAGAAACAAAGAAACAAAGAAACAAAGAAACAAAGAAACAAAGAAACAAAGAAACAAAGAAACAAAGAAACAAAGAAACAAAGAAACAAAGAAACAAAGAAACAAAGAAACAAAGAAACAAAGAAACAAAGAAACAAAGAAACAAAGAAACAAAGAAACAAAGAAACAAAGAAACAAAGAAACAAAGAAACAAAGAAACAAAGAAACAAAGAAACAAAGAAACAAAGAAACAAAGAAACAAAGAAACAAAGAAACAAAGAAACAAAGAAACAAAGAAACAAAGAAACAAAGAAACAAAGAAACAAAGAAACAAAGAAACAAAGAAACAAAGAAACAAAGAAACAAAGAAACAAAGAAACAAAGAAACAAAGAAACAAAGAAACAAAGAAACAAAGAAACAAAGAAACAAAGAAACAAAGAAACAAAGAAACAAAGAAACAAAGAAACAAAGAAACAAAGAAACAAAGAAACAAAGAAACAAAGAAACAAAGAAACAAAGAAACAAAGAAACAAAGAAACAAAGAAACAAAGAAACAAAGAAACAAAGAAACAAAGAAACAAAGAAACAAAGAAACAAAGAAACAAAGAAACAAAGAAACAAAGAAACAAAGAAACAAAGAAACAAAGAAACAAAGAAACAAAGAAACAAAGAAACAAAGAAACAAAGAAACAAAGAAACAAAGAAACAAAGAAACAAAGAAACAAAGAAACAAAGAAACAAAGAAACAAAGAAACAAAGAAACAAAGAAACAAAGAAACAAAGAAACAAAGAAACAAAGAAACAAAGAAACAAAGAAACAAACACACAAACACACAAACAAACAAACAAACAAAGAAACAAACACACAAACAAACAAACAAACAAACAAACAAACAAAGAAACAAAGAAACAAAGAAACAAAGAAACAAAGAAACAAAGAAACAAAGAAACAAAGAAACAAAGAAACAAAGAAACAAACACACAAACAAACAAACAAACAAACAAACAAACTAACTAACAAACTAACTAACTAACAAACTAACAAACAAACAAAGAAAAAAAGAAACAAAGAAACAAAGAAACAAAGAAACAAAGAAAAAAAACAACAAACAAACAAACAAACAAACAAAACATAGAATCAAACAAAACAAACCAACAAACACACAAACAATCATACGTTTCGAGCTAAATAAAAGCCTGTAATAGACGCTCGTAACTATAACATTACATATGTCTAAGGAAATACATAAATCATTTGACAGCTTTGGCAGAAATGCACCGTAAGTTTTAAGTGCTTTGTCGGCTATGGACTGTAGGTTTCAGCGAATTGGCACAGTTTAAATGGCACTCATATAGGCGGGGTACTGTAAAGTACTTACATCGATGGGGTACAGTAGACCAGGTTTAAAGTTGCGGTTGTCCACTAGCATCTGTAACTTCACACTTTCGTCGTAAATGGTGACCGTTCCACTACTGGACACCTTGATTCCGGTTAAAGACTCTGTCACGATGGCGATGGTAGTAAGGGTGAGTTTATTCAGCTTGCCTCGAATGTCCTTGACCTTCGACACAGGTATCATCACCCTGGTTTCTTCGTCAATCTGAGAAAGTTTTTAAAAAACCCACTTTTTTATATTTTAGCAGAGTTTTAGAAATAAACTTTAATGAACCAGGTGCGGAACTACTGCACCGCCAGACAACGCAATTCGGGGGGGGGGGGGGGGCTATACCTTCTTTTGTTTTAAAATTTTACCTGTGGTGAAGGCAGTTTTCCCTATCTCGTACGATAAAAAACGCTGTTGTAAAAAAAACTTGGCACTGTTCTTCTTTTTCGTTCTTAATATTTAGTGTTGAATGGATTAAACCTTAGCTGCCAGAGGGTTTGAACTAGAGACTTCTTTTTTCTTCGTTCTTAATTTTAGTGTTGGAAGGGATCCCCCTCCAACGCAATTAAGAAAACGTGTCAACTGGATGTGCGCCATTGAGGCCATTGACTCCGATTTCAGCCTGCTTTTCTGTTTGAATCTTCTTCCATAGCCTTTGTCCTAGAAGATTGGCTGTCCCCAGCTAACGAGCCTCATCTGCCCGAGGGTTCGAACTCGAGACTTTTTCGGAACTGTTGATTTTGACGAACATAAGCCTTGTCATCAGGTGGCTTTCATTTTTTTATCACGCCTCCACCCCACCCCCACCTTTAGCCCAGAAAGCAGCAAACAGATAAATGAAACCCTTATAAATTAACGCTGATGATTATATTATGTGTTTTTGACAAATATTCACAAAACAGTGGACATAAGATAGTTCTTTATATTATAAAAATGTTAATCAGTAGTAAACTGCTTAAAAATTGAACATAATTTATAATCACTAAATGTAATAAAACCAATCAAATTCCAACAGAAACGGTTAAAACGTTAAAACTTTAAAACGTTAAAACGTTAGTAAGCGAACACACAAACACACAATATGGTAAACAAGTTTTTCCGCATCAAGGTGGAGTGAGAATCTAGATTTCGGAATTTTGTATGTTGACTACATAAATATCTTTAAACTACAAATAATCTCCCAAGTCTTCTTGTTAATTTGACAATTGGCGACTATGTTTGACATTGTTTTTTTTTCTTTACAGCTGAGTGGTAACTTGACAATGTTATAATTTTAATTGTTTACACATAGAATTGTGTGCGGTTACTTCAAATTTAGGAGTTTGGTTTAACGAAATTGCTCTTGACTCAATAATGTTAAGCCTTTGTCAACAGCTGATATTTCAAGTACAATAACTTATATAAGACTGTGTAATCTCCCTTGTTATTGATGCACTGAATGTACAAGTCACTTACCGGGACAGTCGCTGTGTACACGGGTTTCGTCTCCCAGTAGTCGTGTAGGTTTACTTGGACGTTCGCGCTTCCTATGACTGGTTTACCATAGGTGTACCTGCAGATTGTAAGATATTCCATTCTATCACTTTTTAAGACGACTTTCTTAAAAGGTCTCTTCATTTTAAGAGTAGGCCTAACTTGGTTAAGTTAAATATCTCTTAAAATCTGAAGGAAAAAAAAAGTTAATAGTACCCGGATTATACTTTCCTGTGGTTATTTAACGTTTATAATACCGAGGGAGGGGGGGGGGGTTGAACAGTGCAAATAATATTGTTGTTCTAACCTTGAATCAAATGCACTCACTTTGCCTTAACAGTAAACGTGATGTCAGAATCGCTGGTCAAAACGTAAGGTGGCATGATGACCTCGACCTTGAACTTGGGTAGAACTAAAAATATTTTCTTTTTCTTTTATGAGTTATAAAACGTAAATTTAATGGTAAGTATTTCAACAGCTGATTTTAGTAGTAGCTTACATTTGATACAAATTAAATAAAACATTATTTTTTAAAAAGCCCATCGTCTTCATCACAGCTTCTAGTCCTGCTATGCAAATTAATTTATAATATAAATATCACTTTTTTGCTTAATATAATGATATTTGTATGGTGTGGGGACGAGATGTCATGTTTAAAAAAAAGATACTAAGACAGAGAAGAAAGATGTGATCTGTATTTTAATTGTTATTATTCACGAATTAAAAACAATGGTTAGTGACTAAATGTTGGTCTAAACTACAGTTTGTTCAGGAAATATTGGACCTTCAAACTAACACACAACAAAAATGTTATACAGAACAATAGCTTAAATAGTTTAGAACAAAAAAGTTGAGATAAAAAAGGGATTTAGCTAAACTAACAAGTGTTTAACGCGATAACAAAATATTTACCATACTCAGCTACAGTAAATGATTTTTCTTCTTTCATTTTCTAAAAACAGAGTTAAAACCCGTTTTTATTAAGATGTAATATATACATAAATATTTAATTTAACAACAGTAATTTAGCTCAAATTTAATTTTCAATTAATAGTTACGATATCGTGCACAAGTCAAAGCAATAATATAATGTTGTTTTAATCCAAAAAATAAAATTGTTCAAAAAACTAAAATCTTTGAGTGTTTATATAAAAGTAGAATGAGACAAAAAAAATTTAAAAGTTTTTTACGCCAGCTTCCACTGATATTTTCCAGTCGCCAAGGACTGGCTGGGACGAGAGGGTCATCTCCTGGGCGATGACCCCTTTCTCTGGACTGACCTTGACCCACTGTTTGATCTTAATTTCCTTCGCGTCCTATCTCAAGAAAAATTGAAAATTAGTGAAGTTACACTTCGACAGAAATGTTTTTTAAAAGATTCCTTTTAAGTTGAATTGATTCGTACGGCTGTCCCTAGATAAACTACTTACATAAATATAAATGTCCATTGTTCCTTTGTAGGACTGTAAGTCGGAATACACACCAAACACTCTAAATTTCACTTGAAAGAATAGGTTGAGCTACTTTAAATAAGTATCGTATGGTGATGCTTGCAAGCAATAATGCGAAGCAATGCAAAAAAAATGGATAAAAACTTTTTATTTATAAATAAAAAAAAAATTAAACACTGAAAGTAGAAAATAAATTGTTTTCTAAAAAAATAATAATACAATTCTATTTAAATAAATGTATAGAAAATAGTGGGTCACTATATTATCTATTGAATACCTTTATTAACATTTAAGAAGCGACCTAGGATATTTTAATTAATTTAAAAAAAATTAATTAGGCATCCGATTAAGCCATATTTGATGTCATATTGTAATGTCTTCGGGTTTTGACCTATGTGCTAAGAAAGAAAAGACCCAGTCTGTTAGAAGTGAAATTTTGCTCGGCAGGTTCGATCCATGACGGACGACAGACAGACAAATTTAGCAAGTTAAATAAAAGCGTATAAAAACACCAGCTCGCCATCGTATTGACACAAATACTATTGACACCCAGGTAAAATATAAACGTCTCACCGGGCTTAAAGATGGCCTTATTTATACGTCTTACTATCTGTATCACTAGGCTTAAAGATAGCCCATAGAAAAGTCTACCTACCTGTATCACTAGGCTTAAAGATGTCCTTATTCAGCTGTATAAACAACGAAGCTTCTTTGCTGTTGTAGCTGAGACTCTTAGAGTTATCAAATACCAAACCGCCGCTGCCAACGACTTTCAGCGTGTAGTCGCCATTAGGCATTCCAGGGGGCAACTGGGTAAAGAAGATAGGTTTTCATAAATTAAAACAAACTAAATACCTGTTATATTATTTCATTAACTGTTATTGTTAAATAAACTTAGCCACCCGTTATCCTTTGGATAACTATGAGTTAAGGGGTCATTTTAGAAATAATGTGATGTTTCTTCCATCTTTTCTATCATTCTCTACTCCTTACCCACTGTCAAACATCGTGGCACAAAGTCTAGTACAGATACTTAAATAGAACCCATAACTTGACCTATATCTTTTTCTTCTATAATTACCGATTTCGTTCTTGAAAAAACAATTGAAATAAAGGTATTGCAAAATAATCATTGACGTGGGTTGCGGTTTCCCAATGTGGACCATCTACGTGGAAAGATAACATAAAAATTCACGATGACTGCATTGGTACCGAACCCGCAACTTAATAACGTTGAAAAGCACTCGTCTCGGACACAAATCCACAGTCAAGTACGTGAAAATAATCTACTTATATCACTAAGCTAATCCATCATATACAAAAAGAGACAAACATTATTTTTAATTAAATTATATTCCAATTTAACATACTTCATTGCTCTTAATCAAAGATGTATGTGAACGATTTAACGCCTAAAATAGTTTATTGAAAAAAAATACTTCGTTGCTTTCATACTTGGTTTTGTTATAAACTAATTAATGTTGATTTGGTTTACGTTTTCTCCTACCAAAAGAAGCTTAGTTTTATATTCTAGTTTTTCAGTAATTAATTTCATTATATTATCGAATTAGAAATTTAGTCAAGGGTATCTTAGCGTAACTTGTTAATATTGTTTGGAACTTATGTGAAATAAAAAAAAATATCATTAAAACCAACGAAAAAATAGTTTTGAAGATCTCCATGATCGCCATTATTTGAAAAACAGTATTTCTAGTGTTGTATAGCTAGATGTATAATTTTAGATTTGGTTAAATCTTCTAATTTAAACAATTTTTACATAAGAGCGCACTACAAAATCCGACACATATTGCGAATGTTCCGAGTACACACACATGGCTAAGTTTTAGTTGTATAGTTTTAGTAGATAAACTTTATATTCCGAAAATCATTCCACAGAAGAGTTTGCTTGATGATTAAGTGCTTTAAAGACAATAGAAAGAGAATACGTTTCAATAATTTAAAATTTATAATGAATCAAATACAAGGCTTACCTTTATCGTGATGGTACCCGGAATACCTGGGAGAGAAACATTTTTTTTAAAAACTAATTAAAAATAGTATTAATTTTATTTCCGTTAAATCTGCCGAGGAAATGATTGGTCAAGTGGAAGAGGGAGAGAAATCGTTAACCAGAAATTGTCGGGTTGCTTTCGTTTGTCTATCTTTTCTAATCGACACTACACTTATCCAACCCCGATTGGTTAGAAATAAATCACGTGACAATGGGATGGTGTAGTCGATTGCTGGGTCACACAGCGGATAATATAAAATATTAAAACGAAAGTATGTGATATTTAGGGAATGACGCTGAACGAAAAATACTTCCACAAGCTTAGGTAAAAGAAACAGATGGACTGTATTTAACCTTAGTGGATGTTCGACAATATTCCTGCACAGTTCATTAATCAGGTTTGTCAACTGTTGTCAACCTGACATTTCTATTCATTAAAAACATCTTGTCCCAATCTCCCCCCCCCCTTTTCGACACAGAAAAATAAATATATAATAAAATGATGATATAGATCCTGAAAATGACACACCAATGTTGACACAGGTGACACAACAATAATGACACAGGTGATACAGCAATACTAACATAGGTGACACAACAATACTGACATAGGTGATACAACAATACCGACATAGGTGACACAACAATACCGACATAGGTGACACAACAATACTGACATAGGTGATACAACAGCAATGACACTGTTTTCCGCCAAAGTACCGTTCACTGACCGGCTTTAAAAAGGTTCACACCGCTACCCACGAGAGTTGCTTCCCTTAGAACTTGGGCGACGACTGTGACGTCATCGGTGGCCTTGAGAATGTTGACGCTGACGGTGAAGTTCATGTTGGGGTGGATCGTTGATGGGGCGATGACGACATACGTGCTAGAAAATACAATGATATATCCTTCTAATTATGTTAAAAACGATAAATATTTGCTAGCTAGAACAGAGGAAAGCGTGATTTGTTTGGCAAGTTTAATTTACAAATTTTGTGGACCAATACGTCACTATACATTGTTCGATGATTTTTGGTCTAATTGTGAAAAAATATAGAAATGTAGCCTTAAAGACATGTAATTGTTTTTTTTTTATGATTTCTATTCTTGATTTATTATTTGTATTCAATTTTGGAAAATAATTTCAAGCTTTAGTTTTTTTTAGGCAGATATAAAGGGGAAATTTGCAAAAACACGATATTTATCCAAGTAAAAAATAATGATGGAATGATTCTCACCAACTTGTTGATGTCCATTATTTTATTATTGTAAGTTTTTCACCTTTATAAGTGTATAGAACCAAGCTTAGTCATTTGATTTTAATTCATCAAAACAGGTTTATTGAAACTGACGTTATTGCACTATATATTTTGATCTCTTATGGGTAATATTAGTTTTCAACACAAGAGCAAAACGCATACTAACATATAAGCATTGACTTGTGACCTTCCGTTTAACTTTAAAACCCCACTTACTTTTGAGCACACATTGTTGTAGCAACCAGTGTCAGTAGAAGAAACAGCCGCATCTTGTTGCACGAAAAGAGAGCAAACAACAGGACTTTATATTATAAAGTTACACAGACATAAGTTTCTGACTATTTAAATAGAAAATTGAATCTTTCAGAATTTCGACATTGCGAAAAGGTGCCTCTCTTTCAGCTTTGATGCCGAATGAAACCGAAATTCCCGATTGCGCTAATGCGCATTAATTTGATTTGTGTAATGACGACATTAAAATACGAGCATTTAAACTCGTAGGCCAAAAAGTAATAACGTAATTGATCTAGGCTTAAGCCAATGAAGTTAAATATTCCAACGCTGCTTTTAACGTTATCATTACGATAAAATAGTATTATTAAATAGTATTTTTAAAATATACTGTCCCTTGATCTCAAGATGTCGAAGCCTGATTTTCAGTAAAGTTATGTAAAGAAATCCTACAGATCTTTACCGCATGATATTTCATTTATAACAAATAAATTGAAAGTTGGGTTACGATGAATGTTTTAACATATAATATAAAAAACTACAAAGCGTGTGTACTTTTTTTTAATGTATTAACTAAATTTAAAATAATATTGATTACTTTAATTTCTTTGGAACGAATAATGTTATAGATGATAATACTTTTTACTTTTTGTTATGTGAAGAAACAAGATCTCCAAAAATTATAAAGTATTCTAGAACTCAAATTCATCAGATTTTATTTCAAATGTTTTAAAATTCAGATAATTAATGAATTTGTCGCCGTCGAGTTATACTTCAAGATTCCTCTCCCTCAAAAAAAAAAAAAAAAAAAAAAATAAAACAATTCAATATAAAATTACCGAGTAAGCAAGTTTGGATTGTACATTAAACAATACAAGCTAGTGTGAATGAACTATTTTTAAAAAATTAAGCAAAACAAGAATGTAGATATATTTTCTGCGTCTGAAATATTTGCCTGGAACATGTTTCTTTCTTTCTTATAATATATGCTGTTCTCGAGTGCAACTGTAACATATTTAGCAGGCAACATGTTCCTTTCTTTCTTGTATGCTATAAGCCAAAATGTGGTAATACGAAAAAGTTTTTAAAATTAAATTCAAAGCAAAAACATAGGACAAAATATTTATTTGTTTAAATTTTTTTTTTCAAAGCTATTTTTACAGGTTTCAAAGTTTATACAATTGAATGAAGTTAGACATTTAAAAGCTAAAATAAAATACATCTACAAGTTTTATATAAATTAGTAAAAGATTTGTACAGATGTAATATAATACGAGCAAAACTAGATTTGAAAGCTTCATTTTATTTGCTATAAGTTTGCATTTGCTATAAGAAAGGTATAATATATAACATTATTTCTGAACTCCACGACAGAAAAGCTTTGCATGCATCCCATGTTTTCTGTAACATCTGTAAGTTAAAACAAATTATTTTTATGATCAGTAATAAAATCATCTTTTTACTTTCTCGTATATACGAAGTATAGAGAAAGTATTGTAATCGTGCACAAAAATGACTTGAAATTTTATCAATTTTCACCGTATTACACCTCAGTCAGTCATCACATCCGAAGTATACAGGACTTATTTTAATCGGGAAAAAATTATCAATACAGATTTATCAAAATTAAGAGGTTTTATGCGTAATCCAGTCTGAAAAACTGGGCTTTGCAATTCTGTCCGTATGTCTGTGTGGGGAACAGGGCATTTCCCCCTCTGTCAATTACCCCCCGGATATTTCCCCCCCGACATTACCCCCCAGAGTAATTACCCCCCCCCCCCTGTCAATTACCCCCCCGCCCAGTAGGACATTACCCCCCCCCCCCCCGGACAGGGTTAAGGTTAGGGTTAGGGTTAGGGTTAGGGCTAGGTTTAGGGCTAGGGCTAGGGCTAGGGCTAGGGCTAGGGCTAGGGCTAGGGCTAGGGCTAGGGCTAGGGCTAGGGCTAGGGCTAGGGCTAGGGCTAGGGCTAGGGCTAGGGCTAGGGCTAGGGTTAGGGTTAGGTTTTAGGGCTAGGGCTAGGGTTAGGGTTAGGGTTAGGGTTAGGGTTAGGGTTAGGGTTAGGGTTAGGTTTTAGGGTTAGGGCTAGGTTTAGGTTTAGGGTTAGGGTTAGGGCTAGGTTAGGTCTAGGGTTAGGGTTAGGGTTAGGGTTAGGGTTAGGGTTAGGGTTAGGGTTAGGTTAGAGCTAGTTTTAGGGTTAGGGTTGTGTCTAGCTTCGGTTTTGGTTTTGTGTGAAGTTTAAGGCTAAGGCGGATGCTTAGGTTTTGGTCTTTTGCTTAAGGTTTGGATTAAAGTAGTATATAGGTATAAAATTTTAGTTAGAGTTAGGATTTTAACTTGAGAGGGGGGGGGGGGGGGTAATTCCCCAGGGGGGTAATTGACAGGGGGGTAATTGACAGGGGGGGGTAATTGCTCCGGGGGGGGGGGGTAAATACGGGGGGTAAATATCCGGGGGGGAAATATCCAGGGGGGTTATGTCCTGTAGCCGTCTGTGTGTCTGTCTGTGTGTGTGTGTGTCCGTCTGTAAACACGATAACTTGAGTACCGTTACAGCTAGGTTGATGAAATTTCATATATAAGTATTTTATTAAAATCGTAGATCCGTATCAACTTTAGCGATTTCCGATAACCGGAAAGGGTACTTTTCCTACTTTGAATTTTTCAAAAGTATATAACTTGAGTACTATTTCAGATAGATAAATGAAATTTCACATGTAAGTAAAAGATCTAATTCTCTACCTTCTGTTAAATCTTGAGTAATTTCCGTTGAACGGAAGTAGTAATTTACGCTACTTCCGATTTCTCAAAAAACTAATGTAAGTTTTTAAAGTACTAATAATATTGCGCACTATTATGCACTTTTTTGTTTAGCGTTCATTCGGTGTGCAATTTTTTTGTCTACGAGATTTTATTCTATTTTTAAAACTTTAAGTATTTAAAATGGATTAAAAATCATGTCTATAGCCCGAGATCCCATCCCCTGTTATTTCATATAAGAATATTCGAGAAAGTTTTGGGGAGATCACTCCCGGTTTATTTTAATAATTTTATTTTGCTTTTTTGGCAAATGTCTTTAGTCTGGTTTTTGCAAGTTATACACGTGACGAAATAGCATAATGCCTCACATACAGACAGACAACACGTCTTTAAACAATCATTCACAAACGATATTTATGAGATAAATAATAATAGAGATGAAAATCGTACTGACGAAACAAATAAGATAAAAAACTCACAAAAAAGTTGGTAAGGAATATTTTTCTCTTTAGTAGTTGTTGTATCAAATAAATTGTGACAAATTACTAATATCTTAGGGTAAAGTGTTTTAATTTTATGTTTGATATTTTTTCTTCTTCTTCTTCTTAAAATAATTTATATTGAAGGCTTCAAATAACTAGACCACGTCGTGGTTTTAATTTTCTATTTTTTAACCATGTTTCATCGTCATTTCAAATACACATACTTAAAATCGTTACTTTTACGTTTTATTCAACGAGACCGATCTATATTTAACAATGGACGATTAGTGTTTGGTGTAACCTTGCCTTTTTTTACAATTTTGGCCTAATAGCTGAGACTTTCCAGAATAATATAAGGAAGAAAAATTACTGTCTTTAATACTATTTTGTTAACACTAAAGCTTGTTATGACAAATAGAAAATTATATATAGCCTCTTACTAAACTGATTTCGTTAATTTATAAAATTCATCAGGGTAAAAAATAAAATTTGATCGATACTAAGCCGCCCATTTTGATCGTCGTGTTTTGAATTAGAAGAAATCTAGCAGACAACACCTTATCAGTCATATGAACCAACACGTTTTTTGTTTCAAAAATAAGTTTCCAGGCTACCGATTAATTTTGATAATTAAAATAAGAATGAAATTTTAAAAAAAAATTCAATAATGTTCCTTTTAATTATTTAAGTCATGTTGAACAATAATAAGTTTTAAAATCTTAGGCGCCACCCTATTTTTTGACTGTGTTAGTTTGTATAGGTTGTATTTCATGTATTTATCGTTTTATAAATAGTATGCTTAGGATATTTTGTTTTGTAATCCAATTGTAACTAAACAAATAGAAAATAGCTTTACACCAACACACATAACACAACGTCACCTGAAAATTTCCGGTGACTTGGCCACAGTTTTCACATTCCGGGCAGACGTCACAGATGTTGGAATCTTTCAGAGGTTGTGATTGGTAGAACACTGAACACTGTGTCTTTATATTACAATTGTGTTTTGTAAATCAACTTAAAATATAATTTAAAATCAACTTAGAATATAATTTAAAATCAACTTAGAATATAATTTAAAATTAACTGAAAATATAATTTAAAATCAACTGAAAATATAATTTAAAATCAACTTAAAATATAATTTAAAATCAACTTGAAATATAATTTAAAGACTAATTATATTATTTTTTAAAGTAGAATTAAAGGTAAAACGAAAAATTCCAATCGTATTGATCTACTTTTTTTCAAAATTAGAATCGTTCATTTCGTTTCTATATCAAAGAGTCACCAACGGTGCTAATCAGATGCCAGTGTCATGTTAAACTATATACTTGTTAAGTGGGTCGGCAAGTATGTGGACACATTTCATGCCTTCAACATATTTTGCTGGAACATTGTTCTTTTCTATCTTTTTATGGTTGGCTGCACTCATAGTTAATTGTGACCTGTTTAGCCTTAAACATGTCCCCCTTCACTTGTACAATATGCTGCACTTTTTGTTCGATATAACCAGTGGCTTCTGCTTCTTGATGCTTTAGCTACTTAAAAAAACTAATTGTCTGACACTTTAAAAAAAATCAAAAGAAAATAACAGCAGATACCCAAAGTAAGTTAAAATAAAATTTATTTTAAAAAATACATATTAGAAAGAAAATAAACATCAAGGAAGAAAATACATTTTGGATAAAACGCAAATCATTTCTTTAAGCGTTGTTGGTAAGTTTAAAAGTCTATACCAATAAAGAAAATTAGGTATTTAAAAGCTAATATAAAGCGATTTATAATATTTATATAAATTAGTAAAAGATTTAAACAAATGTAAGGTAATACAAACAAAGACTTGTTTAAAAGCCGCATTTTCTTTGATTTAAGATTTTCCTTGCTATAAAAGATGAATAATATCAAAGATTATTTCCGCACACCAATCGAAGATAGCTTTGCATTTATCCCATAAGTCACTTTCGACCTGTGAGAAAAAATGATTGGTATTATGATCCGATTTTATACGATCATGTATATATTTAAAGCTAATTTAGCATTGTCTATCAATATTTTCAAGAGGAACTCGAGTTTAATTGTTCACATAATTGGAAGAATTCGAATGGGAAGATCTGTCAATTGATAATATAAATCGTATCTAGACCTAATACAAAATGTATCATTAAACCTATAGCCGAAATATAATAATGCAGTAGAACGAATTTATTTATTCTACATCTATCTTGATTCCATAGGACGCCTTTTGTTTTTGCTTTGAAGATAAACACTTTATGCATGTTGAAAAATTTAATAGATTATGTAACTAAGAAATTGCAAATAATTGAGAATGAATGACTCAGTAACGTCCCTACAATATGCATAATATACGGGTGAAGTTGGTTAGTTTACAACCCCTTAATTTTACATTTCAGAGAATCTGATATTTTTCCAGGTGACTACGGCACCCGAGCTGTCTACTTACCAAATATCAGCTTTGTGTCGCATCTGCAAAACGTTAATCTAATTTAAGCACTATAAAATATATAGTTTATATAGGATCGAGTTTAGTCTAGGTCAGTTTTAGATCACGTTAAATCTCGATTATTTAGTTGGCTATAATTTTTTCCCATTAGATTGAGGTTGAATATCTCAGAAATAACAATCGTACTGAAAAAAAAATTAGATAAAATATTAATTGATAAAGTTGACCAGGAACGTATCTCTCTTCTGTATGCAGTATTTCTTCCAGACTTTTTTCTCCAGGGGAGGGGGGGGGGGGGGCAATTGATATTTTGGAGGGATGGACGGACACTGTTAAAAGTATTTGTTTTCTATATAAATTCCATTTCGTTCGGGGGGGGGGGGTAGTTCGCACACAACTAAAATAACACCTCTTCTTGTTCAGTTACTGGTGGACAGTTTTCACATTCCCGGCAGACGTCACAGATGGTGGAATCTTCCAGAAGTTGTGATTGGTAGAACACTGTCACCTGATTACCTGTAGCATATAAAACAATTTTATTAACTCAAAGATTAATTTTATTTTGAATATTTATTTCGTTTAGTGAATAAACTTAAAAATTAAAATTTTTAACCCTTATTACAATTTTACAGACAGTTTAATAACACGTAAATTTTGTAACACCTTAAGTTTATGTTTCTTAAATACATTAATAGATGGTTGTAGATACTGATACGTCGCGAGTTGTTAGAAATGGAAAAGTGACTGTTCGATTTGAATAGACTTTTTTACTCTAAATTTTAACTAATAAAATATAAAATATTTTAAATTTTTCATCTGCTACAAAACAATGTCTTACGCATTATTCTTATAATGAAGCAGATTTTTACCTATAATCAATTATGGCATAATTTGCTATTTTTTAAAATACTTCCTACACGTGGTCAAATTTCTAATAACATGTAAATGAAATATCGTTTATTTCAATCTCCTACAATGGGAAACATTGATTGTATAACGGTTTAATGATGTTTTAGTGGACAAATGTAAACCCAGCAATGTTTGTGTAAAACCTGTAACCTACTTGGCTCATAGTAGTCATAGACCCTGACGGCAGCTGGCTGTGACTTGGCAACAAAATCAACTCGTCTGACTTTAAAGTAAAAACACTCAGGCGACCTGCCGATCTGGGAGGAAGAGACACACTTAGACATACTATTTTTTGCTTAAAATTTAAACTAATCAAACATAAAATGTTTTTTTTTTTCATCTGATACAACACAATGTCTTAAATTGTTTCCATTTAATGAAACAGAGTTTAACTTATGACTAAAAAATATTAATATTAAAAAATAAACAACTTAAAATCTTAGAAGCTGAAATTCCAAACTAAAATTAACCTAAGAAACCTTATATACCGGTAAAAATTGTTCAGCATACTGACCTTGTCGAAGTAGAGGATGAGCTTCTTGTTTTGTGTCTCGACTCTCTTCACGATGTCCAGCTCGGTGAAACTTTCAAGGTCAGCCTCAAAGCCTGATGGGATACCAAACTCTTGGACAGCCATGGCGCTGTTTGTGCCCTTTCCTATCCATCTTGTTTTAATAGACATTTTTAGAAATTTTAATAACAAATAAAAGCACAGGAAGCTCCAAAGGCCAAACAGTAATCACATAAAAACACTGTGATAAGTTTATCAAGAAAACTTGTGTTTTCACATATATACTTAATCAGATGGATCACGCTACCAATAAATGTAGATAAACTTATCAGAAGGGGGCCTGTGTGGAGTGGGTTTACATGTAAATAAAAAATGTACGTATTTATGTTTTTGGATGTGACAGAAGACTTTCGAATGTATATAAAGAAACGTTAATAACAGAGATTGCTGGAATTAACATCATACTAAATACAAATCTATAAAAGATGTTTTAACATTTGAAAAGTCTATATTTGAACAAACATTTTAGGAGCTTAGCCACCAGACACCCGCATTTCTAACCAACCCTTTGATCCACATCGGGTATCACCAATGTACACACCTTGTGCAAGTTATCACACCCAAGTAGATGAGATCCTCATATGATATTTCCAATTCTATATCAAAGTGTTCTGGCTCTATATCTGACAGCACGTTGAAGCTTAGAGCAGCCTATTTAAACATATTAAAGAAAAGTAATGATATATTTTTTCAAAGGCAGTTAATAATCGTCTAGCACATGGGCCACAACCTCAAAGATATGCCTGGAAGAAACTCTTGCCCCCGCACTGAGATATGATAGTTAATGCGGCCCTCGGGCTGAAAAGTTTGGAGACCCCTGGTCTAGCATATTATAACGAAGCTAGAACACATCGCTTAGTTAAAAAATAGGATATTCTTCATCAATATACACACGTTCCACGTTTCGAAGACCTGTATTTAATTTACAGTAGCTCATCGTGTTTATAAGGGTTAATGGATCTGTTATAATGAACGCGTATTCAAGAGAGAAAATACCTGAACAAGTGCCATGCCTGAGCCAGTAGCAGTGATCACAACTTGCGCTGGTACTTTTGTATTCTATACATACATGAATAGTATATATATATATATATATATATATATATATATATATATATATATATATATATATATATATATATATATATATATATATATATATACATGCAGACACTTAGACACAAGCATATATATTTATATATATATATGATTTTTAACTAACACTAATACATACACACAGTTACACACAAATATATATAGGCCTATATATATATATATATATATATATATATATATATATATATATATATATATATATATAAATGATTCTTGTTCCCACACTACAGTATAACGTAAACAGAACTATTCAACCAAATCTCCCATTGTAACCTCTCTAGCCTGCAACACAAGTGAGTTGGTCTTGTCAATATCAAAGTTGTAGGTAGTCTCATCGTCCAGTTGGGTGGTGATGTGGACTTGTAATTTGTTGCTGTACGTCTGTTTGGCGTACTCGCTGAGGGCGTTCAGGGCGACGACGGTATCCTAGAGAGTGATTGCGTGAATATATTAAAGTATGGTTGTTCTTTATGAAATGTATAGCACTACATTATAAATCTAGCACTGCATTAATTAGGAGGCAGAATAAAAAATTTATACAATTAAACAAAATTAAAATGAATTTTTAATTATAATCCAAATATGTAAAAATAAAAGTATACATTGCTTAATAAAGGTGTATGGCAGTTTCACTTAGAGTTTAACAAAGTTAATTCCTAGACAAACCCGTGTGGACGTGAAGCCTCCTTTGGCGTTTCTCTGTTTGGTGATCCACTGCATGATGCTCTTGCCCGCCACCAAGTCGCCCCGCTTTGTGTAGGTCAGCAAGACGTAGGCGGTCATCTCAATGTCAACGGCCTTGGCGGGGTTGGGGCTATGGCGCGTGATGATCTTCAGTGGATCTGGCTGCTGCCAGTATCTCATGCCGTCTGTTTATAGAAAGAAACCAGTGGAATGATTTGTACTGCGGGTTATACAACAACAATGTGCATATTGTGTAAAGATGTGAGAATGTATACTGTTTTCTGCGAGAAGAAGACATGGGGGCGGCTATCGAGAACAATGGTTTAAATTGGAAGGGGTGGTGGAGCGTCGAGGCTTAAGGCGTTTGTGGTGATGTGTTCAGAATTTTTAAAGAGATTAATAGAGAATAATGGGACGTCATGGAGCACCACTGTTCATGTGAAAGTCTAGAGTTCGGATCCCAGTTTAAAGAAAGCAAGCTGAGTTATTATCCCAGCTCTGATAGGTACTTGACTCACGTTGTATAAACAGGGTTGCGCATATTGCTACACAGTCCCTTTCGTATCTAATTTATCTGCCCCCTGTAGGTTGCAAGGGTATCGTTATTGTAAACTTTAAAATATTATTTTACTTTATTTTTTAAGGCCTTTTAGAGGCTGTATAGATACAGAACAGGATTTACCCTTCTGAGTTGACTCAGCCTCCAGTTTGTCTAGAACAGCTTGGGTCATGTTGCTGCCGGCCAGTTGGAAAGCGTAAGACGCCATGGCGAGAACGTAGAGATCATCCAACTTGGCAACTTCCTGTTCAGCGTAGGCCAGGGCTTTTTGTATGGCCTCATCAACATTCTTGGAAAAATGCGGTTTTATTATTAAGTTACTGTGGGCAATGTGGCTTTCTGGTTTAGACTTAATTTGAAAATAATGTGGGTTTGTGGTTAAGTTTTTGCTTTTAATAAAGATATTCCTGGAAATTATGGGTCAGATATCAATGAGTTCTGGGACATTTTAGACTTTTGTTCGTTCATTTCATTGAGGAGGTAATAAAGCCCAACTATAAATTCAATAGATTAGTTGTTGAAAAAAATGATCCCATGAACTTAACTTAACCTTTAGTTTATTAAATAAAACAAAAATTTAACCCTTGACTTTCCAATTTAGCCATTGACATAATGAAATCTTTTTCTTCGTTCTTAATTTTAATGTTGGACGGGATTTCCTCCAACACAATTAATGATTAGATGTCAACATCTTTAGATGTCAGCCTGAATTTCTTTCTGGATTTGCCCCATAGCCTTTGTCCATCCAAACACAAACTACAAGAAGACAGTTATTTGACTTCGGAGGTCTCTACTCAAAACGGCTTGCTGTCCCCAGCTTCCTTCCTTAATTATACAGAAACCGGCTAAGAATGTTGACTTCCATTAGCCAGGCAGGCCTCAGTGTAGCAAACTCCGACCACAATAGTTTCCGACACATCGGTCGCTACTTCCGTCGGCTCTCATCGGGCTTTCCTTCCCCACCCACCAAACGCGGGACGTCGTCCTACCTCCTGGTACCCAGCTTGATCGTGGGGGGGGGGGGGGCGTTCGGCCATTCTTTGAACCTAGCGCATACAGCAGTTATGCTCGGCCAGATCAAAAACATCTAGCTGCTGTTGGCTACCACTAGCCATTCCGCACCCATTAGGGGGGTCATGAGCTTGGTCCGTCTAGTGGCACACATCCGAAGCCACGTGAAGGCCGCAGCTTAAAGTCAAGATCTGGTTAGGGTCGAGAGCACACCGTTCTTGGTTCCCGGCAGTCTTGCACCTCTCCTCCCCCACGCTGTTATGTAGGGGACTTGGGAGTCCGACGTACCAGGCTCATCGGAAGCTGTCCCCACTATCAGGCCACATCTGCTCGGGAAAAAAACTCGAGATTTTTCAGTTTAGCAACCATAATTTTACCACCGACCACGCCCACACCACCACATTTTCAGTAAAAAAAACTTAACCCTTGACTTACCAGGTACTTCATGTCATCAAGGTTCTCTAGTAGTGAGATCAGAACAAACAGGGTTAACTTGACCCCTGAACCTGCTTGGTCCTGTATATATATATATATATATATATATATATATATATATATATATATATATATATATATATATATATATATATATATATATATATATATATATTTTTTTTTTTTTTAAATGTATTTATGTATTTACTATACGTGTTTTAGAATGATAGCTTAGTAGATTAAGAACACGATGGTATTAATAACAAAAAATTTACAAAAAAACATAAATAGGCCAAATATATTTAAATGGAAATCGCCATGCCACTTTTTCAAATTTAATACTCCATGATATTGTTCTTCTTTTTCGATTTTAAATTGTTATATTAAAAGGGAATTCCCTCCAACTTAATTAAATATTACGTGCCATACATAGCCCATGACTCGAACGTCAGCCTGCTTTACCTTCTGTATGTACTTCAGTAGCCCGTGTCCACCCAAGAACTATCTAACACAACAGTTGTTTGACTACGGAGATTAGTTTCTGTCTCCTGCTAAAGAGAATCACTGGCCCAGCTGACTGGACTCAGGATTTGTGGTGTTTTTAATCAAACACATTCTCACCCGACCAAGCCATGATTTAGTTTGACTTAATATAACTATGAGAGCTTTCAACTGCTAAACCGGAACTCTTGAGCTCGAATCAAAGTTGAAGTTCATAGAAAGTCCATTGAGTCCACCTAGCTCTGATGATGACCTGATTCACGATAAGTAATCGAAAGGCGTCTGGGCACTAGCCTTTCATATATTCCGTAGTCACAAAAGCATGTAAGCTCTACTTGTCTTATGGACCGTAAGTTTCGAAATTAAATTTCTTTGTTAAAACTAAGTTGTGTATTTCACAACCTAAACAATAGTTTTATTGAACTGACCTGAATGGTACGGCTAAGTACCACCCCAGGTTCAGGAAAGCTGCCGTCGGTATTTTGTTGCTGTATCATCCACTGGATGGCGTCGTTAAGGATGTTTTCATCCACAAAGATGTGTCCTTTAGCCTGGTGGAAGACGCGGGCTACAAAAGCTGTCAGCCTGTCAAAATACAAAAAATCTTTACTAATTGAAAAAAATAAATAAATAAAATAAACTACTCCCGCTTTATTTCACACTTAATAAAAAGTTCTCAGTTGAAACCTAATGAGGAAGTGGTCGGTTCTAACTCAATTTTATTGCATGTAATTCTACAAATATTTGACTCAAGATTTTTATCGCTTTTGAACTTAATAAATAAAATCCTTTTCTGTATTATCATGTGTCATTACTTATTTAAAAATGTATTGCACTGTAAGTTCAAAATTAATCAATTTTTAGAAATAAAATAGTAATTTAAAATTTGTGACTGAAATATAATACAGATTTCCGTGTAAAACATTTCGTTTCTTTGCATTAATTTTAAAACGCCCCTAGAGAGTATGCATAATTAAGTCAGAAATTACACCTCAATTACATCAAGATATTTTTTTTTATTTTTGAAACAAATTGTCTCTAAGAATACATAATTGACTCTGAAATACTAAACAAATAGGCGATGGGAAACAAAATAGTAGTTAAAATATGTTAAACGTAATAGGTTTAATTGAAATTCCCTGTCAAACAAAACTATGCGTTTAGTACATAATTCAGCCAAACTTTGGTCTCTTTAACTAACTTCACATTTTAAAAATAATACATGTTAGCATTAGGAACATCAAACGTTCTACGTTAAAAACACTGACTTACATCACATTTAAGTAATATTTCACATAAACCTCTTACTCCCGCATACTAGAACTGCTTTGAAAAAAAAAACTCTAAACCTTCCACATGCTTACATACTGTACTATATACTGTAAATATTTTACATAAACGTCTAAACTTCAACAGGCTGTAAATATTTCACATGAACCCTAAACCTACTACATACTTGAAACATTCACATGAACCTCTAAACCTACCACATACTGCCAGACTTGTCTCTGTTACCAAAAGCACTGAAAGATCCGTCGCTGTGTTTGTAGGTCAGCACACCCTGGAAGCCTGCGTGACATGAACAAAATGCTATACTGCAAGAATGCATATATATATATATATATATATATATATATATATATATATATATATATATATATATATATATATATATATATATATGTATATATATATATATATATACATAAATATATAGGCCAATATATTTATATAGATATATATCTATATAATAAATACGTACATATATACATCTAAAAACAATATATTGGTCTATATATATATATATATATATATATATATATATATATATATATATATATATATATATATATATATGTGTGTGTGTGTGTGTGTGTGTGACATCATTCATTGAAAACTATTATCTTATGTGCGGTCCTACCACTCTCCATAAAATCGATGGCTTTGGTCTTGATGTCTTCATTCAGTTGATTGACACAGTCCAGGTAATCTGTGACGTAGACATCCGCTGCCAGGTCAAGCATGGTTTGTTCCCCACATCCGGTTGGTATCTGGAGCAGGGAGCCAAGTCCAGCTATGGTTGGACCCATCAGGTCACCTGAGGGGATCCACAGTATATTACAATGTGGGAATAAAGAATTTCTGAGAAAAAATTCTTAACTCTGATTGCAACTATACAGCAAAGTAACCCCCAGAACTTAGTTACGATTATCTGCCACTGCATGCTGAAAACAAGTAAGGCTCTCCTGCCCATAAATAACGTCTCTGACTACTATTTCATACATACATAGGAGATTTTTTATAACAAAAAGCCATTCATACTACTCTGTCTGCCATTCATTGTTATCACACGGGGGCAGATGAAGTAGAGTTAATCTGTTTCAGTGACTTCGGCATTTGCAGGTATTGTGAGTTCAGCACTATGCCCAGCCGCTTTTATTTTCCATAACATGAGTTGGGTACTCGTCTGAGCTGGGTGGACTCGGCGACGGTCTACTGACTGTTAATCCGGATTCAAACCACTAGGCCACGCCTGTCTGACATTACTTGAAGATAACTACAAACTGAGCACTACTGCATATCGAGTTCTGAGGTTTCTATTCTGATTCTCCTGCCCCCTCCCCGCCACTGTAACTACTCTTCTGGCTTCCATAATCTACTGACAACAAAAATGTCTTTTACCCTTCTCCCCTACATAGCGACGCCTCTGACAGTCACTACCTACCGACAGCTGAAATTCTAACAAGCTCAGATCCCTTCACTACGTTGTTAGGCAGCGTGAGGGCAATGGTCTTTGAGAAAGTTTTTTTACCATCTGTCAGGTCGATGAGGACAGGGACGTTGTATTGCTTGGGGACTCCTTCAGCCTGTAGATAGACAAGCTCAATAAATTAGGATAAGTATGGCCGTAAATCACGATAAGTATGGCCGTGGAACATTACCCTCAAGTCTATTTCCTTTTGGTGGGTACAGAGTTCAAATAACCCCCTCAGGTTAGTCCTATCACCCCCATGTAATAACTCTCTTAGTGGGACTTCATTGTTCCTACTACTACATTTGTCATCTATTATAGGTATTTTTGGAGGTGGTTGAAACCGTATGAGAGACAAATAAGTATCAAGAACGTTAACCCCCATATTACCTCAACCAGGAGTTGTCTGCGCACGGTGTCAGCGGCCTTGGTGGATTGGGCCTTGACCTCCACGTCAATTCTACCAAGGTCAGCAGGGACGATGGGGAAATACACAGACTTGGCTTCACCAGCCTTGACCTTAAAAAGTAAATGTTTTGAAATTGTTTTTATGTCATGAGATGGATTCATTTTGCAACACAAAATGGTTCTGAAATGTGTAAATTGTATGATTTTACAGAATAAATTAATACAAAAATTATTAAATGACAAACGTCTACCTTCACAAGCCTTGGAAAACTGTTCACTTTGTAAAATACAATCACAACAAAAAATAAAAACCAGCTCACCAGAACATCCTGTACAACATCAACCTGTTTCAGTTCCTGGTTTCCTGTGGTGTCGATGAAGATGTTGTGGAAACGTTTAGACTTGGCCAGCGTCACCTGTACCTAAAATTAAATACAATTTCAAATTGGTAAGACATCATTGTGGTTCGTTGATCTAAAGGTTTTGTTTCAATATTCCGAGACATATTTTATTAAAGAGATTATTTTAAATAATTTTTTATAAGAGATGTAATGTGTTTTTATTTAAAATTTTATTTTTTAGTATTTTAGTAGGTGTGAACGATGAAAGAAAGGCGAATTGGGTAGGAAGCGCGCGAACTATTTATTTTCTTTTACTATGAGCTACTGAGAATGAAGTGGCGTTGTATATGGCGGTTTGATAACGTTAAGGTCGCTCAATTTACTTGACTGGGTGTATCTTTCTAAGGTTGTTTGATATATATATATATATATATATATATATATATATATATATATATATATATATATATATATATATATATTACGGTCAAAGCCCGAAGTGCGGCCAAACCCCGGATTGTCCGGCCATTGTGCGCATTGGCCGGCTCTCTTGGCCAAAGTCCGAAGCTCTTAAACTTGACAGCGTATTTTGTACATTGGCCGGCCAATGCGCGCACTGGCCGGGATGTCCTGGCAAATGTTCTATCTAGACTAAATTGTGATTGCGTTTTCATTTTTCTGGGTGCGGACGCATTGTGAGTAATGTATTGTTCGGCTCTTGTTTGTATAGCATTCTATATGCAATGCGGCATGGACCAAAAGGACCGTCAGATCAAGAGACAGACATACCAGATGGCTGCCAAAATAAATAATCCAAATCCTAATGGAAAAGAATTTGTGAATCAAGTTAATTCCGAACTAAAGAACATGTGGCCTGAACTTAAACTAGTTCACAGAAAACCAAGGCATAGCCAAAGCCAATGTTCAGTAGAACGTGCCAACTAGGACGTTCAAACATGATGATGACATGGATGCAAGCAAATGAATCAGCTCATTGGGCTGAGAATCTTATGAAAAACCGTAATTTTCATCAAGGAATCCAACAATCGCCATACAAACCCTTGTTTGGATGCAACGCAAAAGTGGGACCGCACTTCAAATCTACCAAGAGAGGCTCTCGATAAGTTAGCTACTTAAGAAGATCTTGAGAACATTGAACAAGAAATGGAGGTTACCATAAATGCAACGACATCCTCAGCTAACACATCTGCTGCTGCGGCAATATTGTAGCCAACAGATTCTGTATAGTTTGTGAAAAACATTGTAGTGCAGCACATTCTTGTGGATCCTGCGACAACGATGTCCATGCTATTTGCGGAATATCCAATGAAGCAGACGAAGGGTACGGAGGAAATATTACATGCTGATTGTATCACAATAAACAAGACATCATGGACAACATGTCAGCAGCTCATACTAGCTTGCTAACTCAAGGTGCTAAGATGCTTAAAACATCAAATACAAAATTTAAACAAGCTGAAGTGGATGACAATGTACGCATCCTTATACCAGATGTTGACAGAGGTCGCGGTGATCCCCGAAGCGTCATTGCAGTTGTCATGAGCGTCGAGGACGCTTTCTACTATTTAGGAACGGAACATAGTGTTCTAAACCAACTGTATGCTAGAAATGAGTTTTCAATTCTTCACGAAAAACTGCTCTTATTATCGTCAGTTGAGGAAAAATCACCACGAACCATCGCATCTTCACAATCATTGACAGAAACATTCAAATTTTTATTGTACTATAGTCTCAATCTATCAATATCATCATTTGTTACAACAAGTTGAACTTTTATGGCATTTAGAATTACATAGCAGCTTGTTATTTTTACACTTGCAGCGATTTGTTGTGCACTTAGTTGTGCAATTGCAGCAAGTGTAGCCTTGGCCCCCAGTCAATGATTGTGAAGTTGCGATGGTTCGTAGTGATTTTTCCCCAGTGCCAACTGACGACAATAAGAGCATTTTTTCGTGAAGCATTGAAAACTCACTTCTAGCGTACAGTTGTTTTGGATCACCATGTTCCGTTCCTAATTTGTAGAAACCGCGCTCGACGCTCATGACAACTGCTATCACGCTTCGGGGATCACCGTGACCTCTGTAAACATCTGGAAAACGGATGCGTACATTGTCACCCACTTCACCATCTTTAAATTTTGTATTTGATGTTTTAATCATCTTAGCACCTTGAGTTTGCAAGCCAGTATGAGCTGCTGATCTGTGTTCCATGATGTCTTGTTTGTTGTGACACAATCTGCAGGTAATGTTCCCTCCGTACCATTCGACTGCTTCATTGGGTATTCAACAAATAGCAATGACATCGTTGCCACAGGATCCACAAGCTGCACTACAATGTTTTTCACAAACTATATAGAATCTGTTGGCCATATTATTGTCACGTAACTGGTCTGGACGTTCCGCCACGGCAGAAGATGTGTTAGCTGAGGATGTCGTTGCATTTATGGCAACCTCCATTTCTTGTTCAATGTTCTCAAGATCTTCCTCAGTAACTATTTTATCGAGAGCCCATATATGGAATCTAACATGGATTTACATTTTTTTTGACAGCCATCTGCTATGTCTGTCTCATGGTCTGACGGCCCTTTTGATCCATGTCGCCTTGCATATAGAATGCTATACAAACAAGAGCTAAACAATACGTTACTCTCAATGAAAACGCACTCAGAATAACGAAAATGCGATCACAACTTAGTTTAGATAGAACATTGGCCAGGACATCCCGGCCAGTGCGCGCATTGGCCGGCCAATGTACGAAATACGATCTTAGTGCTAAGTTCTTCGGGCTTTGGCCAAGAGAGCCGGCCAATGCGCGGATTGGCCGGCCAATCCGCGCTTTGGCCGCACTTCGGGCTTTGACCGTAACATATATATATAACTGTGCTGTACAAAAAGTCTCTTCCCACCTGCATATCGTCAGGCAGGTAGTTGAAGACGTTTGCTTGAAGTGCCAGCTGCTCATCACGAGTCACAGAGTAGGGGAGGTTGAGGCTGACAAAAAACTGTCGGAAGACTTTTAGCTGGAGCAGATTGTAACGTACAAGATATTAAGAATATTTTAAAATATTGTTAAAACCTCAAGTTTTTTTTTTTAAAAGAGAGACTCAAAGATTAAAAAATTAACCATATGGTTAATTATGTAGTCTACTAAAACGTTCTTAAAATGTGTAAGTCTTGTCACCGTTGTTCGCTGCAATAAGCGTTAATTTTTTTTCGATTTGTTTAGATTTGACAAGTAACATGAAGTGTTATGGTAGTCTCTCTATTTGATAAGAGTTTTGACCTATTTTCATTAAGCCGTCTTTCAAGTAGCTTTCTTCTTCAGTTGGTGGGCTGTGGATGTAGTTGGCAGGCTACCTCAGTGTATATGTGTAGCTGGGAGGCTAACTTAGTGGGTGAGGTACATTCGCAGGCTACCTTAGGGGTGTGAGTGTAGTTGGCAGGCTACCTCAGTGATGTGAGTGTAGTTGGCAGGCTACCTCACGGAGAGGTAAGTTGGTAGGTTACCTCAGTGTGAGAGGTGTAGTTTGGTACGTTTGTTGTCATGTTGAAATATATCTTATATTGTGTTTTAATTTGTTTAACTTTTTTTTTGTGGAATTACTTTCTAATTTAACTTGCTAAATTTTTGTGTAGACTCACGTGAGCTTGTGTTGGGGCCACACCCAGACCCGAGTTTGAGTTGATGGCGAAGGCGCTGAGCACCCATGGTGTCAGGTACAGTGGCAGTGATGGGGGGGATGAGGGGGGGAAGGACTTGATATTTTCGGGTGGGCAGACTGAATTTTCTGGGGGGGGGGGGCGGACACTGTTAAAAGTGTATGTTCACTGTCTGTAAGTATCAAATAATAGGTGACTAAACGTCCCAAGGCATATTTATTGTTCGTCTCATTTGATTGATTTAGCTCTTCAGAAAAAGTCCACTTTTTAGGATATTTTGTCGTGTAATTTTATTGAAACGTCACCCACAGGATACACAGCTAAAAATACCTCTTCCTGTTCAATTGGTGGTTGACATTTCTCACATTCCCGGCAAACATCACAGATGGTGGAGTCTTTCAGAAGTTGTGATTGGTAGAATACTGTCACCTGGTTGCCTGTAGCATATAAAACAATTTTATTAACACAGTTATTGAATACTATTTCAATTAGCTAATTTACACTGATATTATGTATATTTTGAATTTTCATTTCGTTTAGTGATTAAACCTTAAAAAATATAATTTTAACTCTAATTACAATTTTACAGACACTTTGATAACAAGTAATTTTTGTTAACACCTTAAGTTTGGGTTTCTTAAATACATTAATAGATGGTTGTAGACACTGATATTTCGCGTGTTGTGAGAAAAAGGATAGTGACTATTCGATTTAAATAGACTTTTTGGCTTCAAATTTTAATTAATCAAAAATAAAATATTTTAATTTTTTTTATCGGCTACAAAAAAATGTCTTACGCATTTTTACTTTCTCGTATATACGAAGTATAGAGAAAGTATTGTAATCGTGCACAAAAATCACTTGAAATTTTAACAATTTTCACCGTATTACACCTCAGTCCTTCATCACATCCGAAGTATAGAGGACTTATTTTAATCGGGCAAAAATTATCAATCCAGATTTATCAAAATTGAGAGGTTTTATGCGTAATCCAGTCTGAAAAACTGGGCTTTGCAATTCTGTCCGTATGTCTGTGTGTGTGTGTGTGTGTCTGTGTGTCTGTGTGTCCGTGTGTAAACACGATAACTTGAGTACCGTTACAGCTAGGTTGATGAAATTTCATATATAAGTATTATATCAAAATCGTAGATCCGTATCAACTTTTGAGCGATTTCCGACAACCGGAAGTGGTACTTTTTCTACTTTGAATTTTTCAAAAGCCTATAACTTGAGTACTATTTCAGATAGATAAATGAAATTTCACATGTAAGTAAAAGATCTAATTCTCTACCTTCTGTTAAATTTTGAGTAATTTCCGTTGACCGGAAGTAGTAATTTACGCTACTTCCGATTTCTCAAAAACTAATGTAAATTTATTAAGTACTAATACTATTGCGCACTATTATACACACCTTTATTAGGCGTTCGCTTGGTGCGCAATTGTTTTTTACTGAGATTCTATTCTATTTTTAAAAGTTTCAGTATTCAAAATGGATTAAAAATCATAACTATATCCCCAGTTACCATCCCCTGTTGTTTTATATAAGAATATTCGAGGAAGTTTAGGGGAGAACACTACCGGTTTATTTTCTTTTAATGTAGCAGATTTTTTTTACATATTGTCAATTTTGGCGTAATTTGCTTTTTTTTCAAAATACTTAGTAATTTCTAATAAAATGTTAATAAAATATCGTTTATTTCAATTTCCTAAAATAGCAAAAATTGATTAAATAAACTGTAAAACGATGTTTAAGTGTATAAACGTAAACCAATCAATGTTAGTGTAAAACCTGTGACCTACGTGGCTCATAGTAGTCATAGACCCTGACGGCAGCTGGCTGGGACTTGGCAACAAAATCAACTCGTCTGACTCTAAGGTTTAAACACACGGGCGTCGTGCCGATCTGGGTGAAAGAGACACATTTAGACACATACCTTTTTGCTTCAAATTTAAACTAAACAAACGTAAAATGTTTTTATTTTTCATCTGATACAACACAATGTATTAAACGTTTTCCCTTTGATGAAGCCGAATTTTAACTATGACGAAAAAATATAAGTGTTAAAAAACTTAAAATCTTTTAGAAGTTGTAAATCAAAACTAAAATTACATAAGAAACCCTCTTTACCGGTAAAAAAATTATTCTCAACAAACTGACCTTGTCGAAGTAGAGGATGACCTTCTTGTTTTGTGTCTCGACTCTCTTCAGGATGTCTAGCTTGGTCAAGTCGTCAAGGTCAGCTGCAAAGCCTGATGGGATACCAAACTCTTGGACTGCCATGGCGCTGTTTGTGCCCTTTCCTATCCATCTTGTTTCAATAGAAATTTTTAGAAATTTCAATAACAAGTTAGATTTTTTAAAAACATTTTACTTTATGGTGCTCGTTATCCTAAGCTATAAATCCTCGGGAAGCTCCATCAAAACACAGTGATACGTTTATCTAGCAATTTTGTGTTTTCACATGAGCACTTAATCAGGTGGATCGCGCTACCAATAAATGTAGATATACTCATCTGTGTTGAGCGGGTTTACATGTACGTAAAAATATTTTATAAATATCATAACTATTACATACACCCACATTTCTAACCAACACTTTGATCCGTATCGGGTATCACCAATGTACATACCTTGTGCAAGTTTCCACATCCAAGTAGGTGAGATTCTCCTTTACTATTTCCAATTTTAGATTAAAGTTTTCTGGCACTATATCTGACAGCACGTTGAAGCTTACAGCAGCCTATTTAAACAGTTTTAAGAGAAGTACTGATTAGAAAAGTATTGCTGGTTTTACAAATATATTATTAATAGCAAATGATAGTAGTGAAGCATATTTTTATTTACAGTAGCTCATTGTGTATAAACGGGTTTATGGTTCTGTTATAATAAAAGGGTTAACAAGGAGGAAGTACCTGAACAAGTGCCAGACCTGAGCCAGTGGCTGTGATCACAACTTGAGCTGGTACTTTTGTATTCTAAACATTCAAGGATATTGTATATATATATATATAAATATATATATATATATATATATATATATATATATATATTGTATATATATATGGTATAAATATATTGTATATATATATATATATATATATATATATATATATATATATATATATATATATATATATATATATATATACAGATACAATGAGAGAGATAGTGTTTCTCTAACGTGATTCAAGTACCCACACTGTCAATGTTGTGTATACACTGAAACAGTTTAACGAAATTTCGCATTTTTAACCTTTCTAGACTGCAGCAGAAGTAAGTTGGTATTGTTAATATCAAAAGTGTAGGTAGACTCATCGTCCAGCTGGGTGGTGATGTGGAGTTTTAATTTGTTGCTATACGTCTGTTTGGAGTACTCGCTGAGGGCGTTCAGGGCAACGACTGTATCCTAGAGAGTAATTAGGTTGTGTGAATGTATGCTTGTTCATTATAAGATTTAGAGATCAACAATTAAAATTTAATACTGAATCAATTATGAGTCAGAATTAAATGCATACAATTAAATTGAAAAAAAAATTAACATTAAATTATAATCCAAGTATGTAAAACAAACTTATTCAACATTGCGTAAAGGTGGATGGCAGTTTCACTTAGAGATTAACAAAGTTCATTCCTAGACAAACCTGTGTGGACGTGAAGCATCCGTTGGCGTTTCTCTGTTTGGTGATCCACTGCATGATGCTCTTGCCCGCCACCAGGTCGCCCCGCTTTGTGTAGGTCAGCAAGACGTAGGCGGTCATCTCAATGTCAACGGCCTTGGTGGGGTTGGGGCTATGGCTCGTGATGATCTTCGGTTGATCTGACTGGTGCCAGTACTTCATGCCGTCTGTTTATAGAAAGAAAGTCAAGAGTTCGGATCCAGTTTAGAGACTGCAGGCTGAGTCATTATTCCAACTCCAGGGACTTCACTCAAGTTATATAATGTAAACAGCGCTGGGCGTATTGCTACACAATTTCCCTTCATATATACTTTATCTGTCCCATAGATTGAAAAGATAAGTTTATTATAAACATTAAAATAATATTTTACTTTTTTTTTAATGGATTTTATAAGGGCTGTGTGTTTGGTATAGTAATACACCATGTTTAAAAGTGCGGCGAAGGCACAAACATGATTCGAGGTACAGAGTAGGACTTACACTTCTGAGTTGACTCAGCCTCCAGTTTATCTAGAACAGCTTGGGTCATGTTGCTGCCGGCCAGTTGGAAAGCGTAAGACGCCATGGCGAGAACGTAGAGATCATCCAACTTGGCAACTTCCTGTTCGGCGTAGGACAGGGCTTTTTGTATGGCCTCATCAACATTCTTGGAAAAAACGGTCTTAATATGGACTTACGATGGGTAATTTGGCTTTCTGGTTTAGGCTTAATTTAAAAAGATATTCCTGAAAATTATGAGATCAATAAGTTTTGGGACATTTCGGATTAAGGCTTTTGTTCGTTCATTTCCTTGAAGATGTCATAAAGTCCAAAATAACTGCTTTCTTCAAACATATTGTCAATGTTCAAGACATTAATTTTGATAAAATGCTCTCATGAACTTTGTCTATCTAAAAACAAACTACAAGACAGCATTTGTTTTATTCTGAAGTTTTCTGGTGTTGCCAGCTATCGAGCCTCCTCTGCACGTGGTTTAAACTCAAAATTTTTCGGTTTACCGGCCCGACCACACCCCCCCCTCCTCCCACTTCCCATAAAAAATTAACCCTTGACTTACCAGGAACTTCATATCATCACGGTTCTCTAGTAGTGAGATCAGTACAAACAAGGTTAACTTGACCCCTGACCCTGCTTGGTCCTGTAGTTTATATATATATATATATATATATATATATATATATATATATATATATATATATATATATATATATATATATATATATATATATATATTGATTAGGAACACGATGATTAATAACTAAATTAGCAAAAATATATCAAAAGCCCTATATTTATTTACATGGAAACTGCCATATCCCTTTTTTCAAATGTAATATACCATGATCTCATTATGCTACAATGTACTTGTAGTCACTATTTGTTAATGCCTACAAATGCTCGATGTATGGAATCAAATTTGACTTTGCACAATTTTTGTGCACAATTAGTTTCTGTTGCGCAGTTTTCTGTTGAGCATCTTTCCGGTCACTGGAGTTTTGGAGCTAGTAATCAAACAGTTTTTTGTCCGGCCAAGCCATGATTTTGTTGGACTTTAAATAACAATGAGCGCTTTATCTGCTCACCCGGAAGTCTCCAGTTGGAATCCGACTTAAAGTTCATAGAAAGTCCACGAGTTCACCCAGCTCTGATGGATACCTGAATAGGCTGGACACTAGCCCGTTAAATATGCCGTAGTCACAGAAACATACAGGCTCTACTTGCACTGTCTTATGGACCGTAAGTTTCAAAATTAAATTTCTTTATTAAAACTAAGATGTGAATTACACAACCTAAACCAAGCTTTTATTGAACCGCTAAGTACCACGCCAGGTTCTGGAAAGCTGCCGTCCGTTTTTTGATGCTGTATCATCCACAGGATGGCGTCGCTGATGATGTTGTCATCCACAAAGATGTGACGTTTGGCCTGGTGGAAGACGCGGGCTACAAAAGCTGTCAGCCTGTTAAGATACAGAAAAATCTTTACTAATTGAAAAAAACAAAACAAAAACAAAAAACATTAAACAAAAAAGAAAACAACAAATTGCTTGTAATGATCATTGTAAAATACTGTTACATTATTTCCTGTTAGTTGTATGTTACGTTATGTCTTCTTAGTTATAAAGTCCCTTGTGTGTGTTCTGTGTGTGTATTTTTTGTCAGTGACTGCGCAAGAAAATGGCCATGCTTGTTAGAGATTGACCTAAACGAGAATGTTTCGCTGAAACTACTCCCGATTTATTCCATACTTAATAAAGTTCTTTAAAAAACCTAATGACGAAGTGGTGGGTTCTAAGTACAAGTAAATTTTATTGCAGGTAATTCTACAAACATTAGAATTAAAAACATATATGGCTTTTGAACGTAATAAATAAAATCCTTTTCTTTATTAGCCTGTGTCATTAATTCTTTAAAAAATATATTGCAATAAACCTACCACAAACTTGAAACATTCACATGAACCTCTAAACCTACCACATACTGCCAGACTTGTCACTGGTGCCAAAAGCACTGAAAGATCCGTCGCTGTGTTTGTAGGTCAGCACACCCTGGTAGCCTGCGTGACATGAACAAAATGCTTTATGTTTGACGTCAACAATATAAACTATGTTATTCATGGTAACATACCTATCTAAAGCTTGGCATTACTTAACAGAATATATATATATATATATATATATATATATATATATATATATATATATATATATATATATATATATATATATACATATATATATATATATATATATGTCACATTATCATAGAGAAATAAATATCTTATATGTGGTCCCACCACTCTCCATGAAGTTGATGGCTTTGGTCTTGACATCTCCATTCAGTTGATTGACACAGTCCAGGTAATCTGTGACGTAGACATCCGCTGCCAGGTCAAGCATGGTCTGCTCCCCACATCCGGTTGGTAACTGGAGCACGGAGGCCAGTCCAGCTATGGTTGGACCCATCAGGTCCCCTGAGGGGAGTCACAATATATTACGATTTGGTACTACAGAATTTATGAGAAAATTTATTTAAGCTCTGAATGCCACTACACAGCGAAGTAACCCCCCAGCATCTAGTTACGATTATCTACCACTGCATGCTGAAAAACATGCACCACGACCCCCTATAAATAACGCCTCTGACTACTAATTCATACCTACATATGATATTGTTATAACAAAAGCCATACATACTCTGAATGCCATTCATCATTATAACATGTGGGCAGATGAAGTAGATTTATCTGTTTCAGTGACTTCGGCATTTGAAAGGATTGTGAGTTAAGCACTAGGCCCAGCCGCTTTTATTTTCCATAACGTTATACCTATCTGAGCTTGGTGGACGCTGGGACGTTCTACCGACTTGAACCCGGATTCAAACTCGAGACTTACGGGTTAGAAGTCTCACCCTATACCACTTGGCCACGCTTGTCTGCCATTACTTATAGATAATTAAAAACCTTCAAACAGCTACGCTTCTGAGCACCACTACATATCGACTACTTAGGTTTTTTGTTGTTTATCCCCTACCCTCCCCCACTATAGATACTCTTTGAGCTTCCATAATCTGCTGACAACAACAATTTCTTTTACCCTTCTCCACTACATAGCGACAACTCTGACAGTCAATACCTACCGACAGCCGAAATTCTAACCAGTTCAGATCCCTTCATTACGTTGTCAGGCAGCGTAAGGTCAATGGTCTTTGAGAAAGTTTTTTTGCCGTCTCTCAGGTCGATGAGGACAGGAACGTTGTATTGCTTGGGGACACCTTCAGCCTGCGGAGAGATCAGCACATTGGGTTATGGCTCTAGGAAATTACCCTCAAGTCAGTTACCTTTTGATGGATATCGGGTCAAATTCCCCCCCCCACCCTCTCAGCCTGGTCAAATTACCCTCATTTTAATATGGCACCCTAGTCTAGTAGACCATCGGATGATTGCGAATCGGAAATCCAAGCACAAAGCCAGGTCCCTAAGTTGAGAAAAGCCATATGTTGCCCATGTATCATGCCCCTCCCCCTTTCCACACAGCTGATTGACCCCCCCAGCGACAGGGCTTGGAATCAGCAGTGTCGTAGGAGCTGCCAAAAGGAATCTTGGTTAGCCCAGGGGGCTCCACTCCTGTTTGATTTAGGAGTTTTCAACGTAAATGGGTTAGCTGTTCCCCAGCTGACAAGCCTCATCTGCCCAAGGGTTCGAACTCGGGACTTTCGGGTTAACATCCATGTGCTTACCTGCTAGACTACTCCGACCCTCACCGCGACTTTAATATATCTCTTAGTGGGACTATTGTTCATACTATTATATTTATCATTATTTAGGGTCATTTTTCGTGTAGTTTAATACTTGTATAAGAGACAAACCAGCACCAAGACATAACCCCATCTTACCTCAACAAGGAGTTGTCTGCGCACAGCGTCGGCGGCCTTGGTGGATTGGGCCTTGACCTCCACGTCAATTCTACCAAGGTCGGCAGGGACGATAGGGAAATACACAGACTTGGCCTCACCAGCCTTGACCTTTTGAGGTAAATATTTTCAATTTGTTTGCAATAGAAAATTGTTCTGAAATGTGTTTATTGTATCTTTAAGCTAAATAAATTAATAAAAAATTATTAATTGACAACCATCTTCCATCGCAAGTCTTGGAAAAATGTTTACTTTGTAAAGTACAATAATAATTATAAAAAAATCCCAACCCACCATAATATCCTGTACAACATCAACCTGTTTCAGTTCCTGGTTTCCTGTGGCGTCGATAAAAATGTTGTGGAAACGTTTAGACGCGGCCAGCGTCACCCGTACCTAAAATTGTATGTAATTTCAAATTTAATAAGACAATATTTTGGTTCTAGGAGCTAAAGTTTTTGTTTCAATATTCCGGGACATATTTAATTGTACAGATTTTTTTCATAAGATATGTAATGTTTTTATTTAATTTTTTTTGTTTAGAATTAGTAGTAGTTGTAAGCTGTGAAAGAAAGGCGAGCTTTGATTGAAAGAGCGCGATCTATTTTGTTTTACTTGGAGTTTCTGAGAGTGAAAAGTTGGTGTTCATGGCGGTTGGTAAATTTACAGGTGCTTCATTTACTTGACTTGTTGCATAATTAGAAAAGTTTAAAAATTATTATTAAAACATTACTCTCTCATTATATACATCTATATATATCTATATATCTATATATCTATATATATCTATATCTATATATATATATATATATATATATATATATATATATATATATATATATATATATATATATAATGATGTACATAACGTCTCTTCCCACCTGCATATCGGCTGGCAGGTAGTTGAAGACGTTTGCTTGAAATGCCAGCTGCTCACCACGAGTCACAGAGTAGGGGAGGTTGAGGCTGACAAAAAACGGTCGGAAGACTTTCAGCTGAAGCAGATAATGACGTGAAATATATTTAGAATATTTTAAAATGTTGTTAAAACCTCTTTTTTAAAAGAGATAGATCTAAGATCAAACTTACCAGAGGGTTAATAAAAAATTGTGTATTCTAATAAAACGTTCTTACAATGTGTAATCGTTTGTAGTCCCTGCTCGCTTAAGCGTTTAGTTTTTATTCGATTATTCTAGATTAAATTTGTCAATTAACATGAAGTGTTAGGCTGGTCTTTCTATTTGATATGAGTTGTGTCCCATTCTCCTTAAGCCGTCTTTCAAGTAACGTCTCGCTTTCTTCTTTAGTTGGCAGTGTGTGGATGTAGCTGGGAGGCTACCTCAGTGTATACGTGTAGCTGGGAGGCTAACTTAGTGTGTGAGGTAAAAAGTCTAGCTACCACAGTGGTGCGAGTGTTTTGGCAGGGTACCTCAATGTTTTAGATAACTTGGCAGGCTAGCTCACTTTGTGAGGTAAATTGGCTAGCTACCTAAGTGGTGTTAGTGTTTTGGCAGGCTACCTCAGTGTCTAAGGTGAATCGGCAGTCTACTTCAGTGTGTGAGGTGAATTAGCAGGCTACTTCAGTGATTGAGGTGAATTGGCAGTCTACTTCAGTGTCTGAGATTAATTGTCAGGCTAATTCAGTGGTTGAGGTGAATTGGCAGTCTACTTCAGTGTCTGAGATTAATCGGCAGGCTACTTCAGTGTGTGAGGTTAATTAGCAGGCTACTTCAGTGATTGAGGTGAATTGGCAGGCTACTTCAGTGTGTTATGTGAACATGGTACGTTAGTTGGCATGTCGTGGTAATTCTTCAGCTTGTTTTTATCGGAGAAATTCTCTAATTCGATTAACTGAATTTATTTATACTCAGTTAATCGAATTAGAGAATTTCTCCGATAAAAACAAGCTCTTCATATGCCGAGGTCACAGAAACAAGTGAACTCTACTTCACTTGCCCCATTAACCGTCAGGTTTGAAAGGGAAACTTTACTTTACTATTTATAGACTCACGCGAGCTTGTGTTTGGGCCACGCCCAGACCAGAGTTTGAATTGATGGCGAAGGCACTGACCACCCATGACGTAATGGTGTCTGGTACCGTGGCAGTGATAGATGCTGAGCCGTTCACTCTATGTTGATGACAAGAAAAAAAAACTTATTAAATACATTTAAATTTTTTTTTCTTTCGTTGTTAAAAATTAAATAAGTAATGTTCAAGAACGATTGAAGTGTTCAATAAGAATCTCCATCATACTAATTATTACATTAATAAGAAAATACGTTTGTAGAGAATATTTTAACTTTACTATTTGAGTGAAGGAAAGTAAAGGAGGCTGGGCAAGTGCAGACCACACCTTCCTTTATATGCAGAGGTCAAGTATAAATTTTATTTCATCTACATTATAGATAGCTTGGTCTAAAGAGGATTCTTTACTTTACTTTTTACCATTAGAATACAACTACAGCTAGGCAAAATGCGAATAAGGAAAAGCTCTAGTTGAACTAACCAGAAATATGAATCGAGGTATCATTATATTATACTTTGTGCTAATATACACAGACCTCTCATATTAGCATCTAGGGCAGCACGGAAAATGTATTCCGTAATTTAGGAGCAAAACATTTTTTTCAATAACTTTAAACAACTCAATCAGTTATCGAAAAACAAATTTGTTATGTGGGAATTTATTTACCCGACGTAAGCATCAGTCCATAGCCAAGACTCGGGAGAGATTTCTCTGACTCGCGCAGGTTTTGGAAATTGTGGTTCTGCGTTCTGCGCAGCGTACGATTGAGCTCGGGGTACGCGATAGGACGCTGCCTTCTCTTTAAAAGAAATATGCTTTAACAAGGATATGTAATGATGAATGTGAATGGTGAATGTCAATGTCAATGTAATTGTGAGTGTGGGTGTGATTGTGATTGTGACTTTAAGTGTAATTTTAATTATGAATATGAATGGGAATCGGAAAGAGAAGTCGAACTCGAATAGGAAAAATCCCGAATGGGGGTTTATATACAGATATACTTAAAAATATAAATACATATATCTATTTATCTATCTATATATATATATATATATATATATATATATATATATATATATATATATATATATGCGTACCGGTATGTTTGTGTTTTGGTAGATGCACGTTTGTGTACTATAATGTGTTTTTTTATAAAAAATTAACCCCCTTCTGTCAGCAAGGATAAGTTAAATGCCAGTGTACACATACGAGCACACGTTCGAGTAACTACTCGAGTAAACCCTACCATTGTACACATTCGATTAAAACCTACCAAGAGAATCCTCCCCAATGTCATATTTCAATCCATCTTGGTACACGTTGGCATCAGTGAGAACAATAACTCCTTCATCCTGTGTGACATTTCAAACAAACAGTTGTACATACGCTGAATATGTCTATATTTGTTAAGGTCCAATTAAAAAAAATGTTTTATATCTTAGACCGTCTTATTTGTCTTAGATGGGTACCTAACTCACGTTAGGGAAAGTAAAGGCGGCTAGGCATAGTGCTGACAACACTATCTCTGCATATGCCGAGGTGACAGAAACAAGTGAACTCCACTGGAATTGTCCCATAGATCGTCAGGTTTGAAAGGGAAAATTTACTTTTTACTTTAATATATATCACTATCGAGATAATTCAAGTTGAAATTGAGATTGTTTTAACATTGTATTTGAGCTTTTCAATAAAGTCTAACAAGAACTCACCTCTAGTAGTTCCCCTCCTGAGCTGGTTCTACAAAATCTCAATGGGACGTCCGGATTGTAGCTAACGTACTCTGTGTGAACCTGAATTACAAGTATATTTTAACAACCGTGAAATTTAGCTTCAGCGCTAATTGGCTATTCTTGTTCTTCTTTTTTATTTCTAGTGTCGGAGGCGATTCCCTCCAACGTAATTAAGTATTATTTTATTTGTTCCCATAGCCTTTGTCCAACCGAGAACAAACTACGCGGCTGCAGTTTATTGATTTTAGATAAGTATCTGTCCTCAGCTATCGAGCCTCATCTGCCCGGGGGTTGGAAATCGGGACTCTTCGGTTCAGTAACCATGAACTTAACCAACCCGAGCACGCCGACTTCCTAATCGGCTATTAATTCCAAATTTCCTGTTCTTGAAAACAGTACGAGATATGGGTAGGGCTTTCAATCCACCAAGTTAAAACACAAAAACAGCAACAACCCAACGTCAAGCTACCACGGCTTAGCCTATTAGGCGTAGAAATGCCCGTTAAAACAGCGAAGATGAAAGCCGCACGGAAGTTTAATCCAAAATAATTCTAAGAATTATCTACAAGGGCCGAATTGAAGAGAGCCGCTCGATACAGGGATCGTTTGATACGTGTAAATGTAGCCCTCTCTACTATGTAGCTATACATATATATTCATTCATTCATTCGTTCATTCGTTCATTCATTCATTTATTTATTCATTCATTCATTCATTCATTCATTCATTCATTCATTCATTCATTCATTCATTCATTCATTCATTCATTCATTCATTCATTCATTCATTCATTCATTCATTCATTCATTCATTCATTCATTCATTCATTCATTCATTCATTCATTCATTCATTCATTCATTCATTCATTCATTCATTCATTCATTCATTCATTCATTCATTCATCATTCGTTCATTCATTCATTCATTCATTCGTTCATTCATTCGTTCATTCATTCATTCATTCGTTCGTTCGTTCGTTCGTTCGTTCGTTCGTTCGTTCGTTCGTTCGTTCGTTCGTTCGTTCGTTCGTTCGTTCGTTCATTCATTCATTCATTCATCATCC